CCCCCCCCAAAAAAAACAAATAAAATAAAGAAGGAAAAATAAATTTATTACGAGATCTGAATGAAAGTAATTTAATTAAAGACAAGTTTTAAAAACATAATAAATAAAAAATAAAAATAAAAAGCAATGCCTTCCTTTATGGTTTAAGGAAAGACTTGCCATGAAATAAATTATAAGCAAAATGGTTAAATATGGTTATCATGAGGGTACCTAGTTCACTTGTGTCCAAATATAAATATGGTCTCTCTAAATGGTAATATTTCTTTTTTATCTCTTAAAAATAAATTGTCTCATTTTAATTCTTCATTTATAGAAAGAACATTTCTTAGTATTTAAAAAAGAATAGTTGGTTACAAAAATTTGATGAAGGAGTAAATTATACTTGACACTTGTGTTAGCACCTGAAAAAAAATAGTTGAATAATTTGACTTCGACTAATATAATTAAGGATTAATTACTCATTTGATTTATATATATATATTTGTAAAATATTTACTTTTTAATCCTTGTATCTTTATTAATCTTTATGTTATAAAACTACTTGATTTAATTCTTATATTAGCATTTTAAGTTCTCTTTTGATCTTTATCATTAAAAAAAAGTTAATACCATTAATGGTTGATGATGTGACCCTGAGATGTCATTGACATAAAATAGATGTGTATTACATTTTACATGTTACAATCTTACATATTAGTTCCTACATTCTAAAACTAATTCCTACATTCTAAAACTAATGTTTTAATTTTACTGTAATCTTGTTCCAGTTTTGATAATTTATTACTATTTTTAAGATCGGTTATTTAATAATTAATTTTGTATATAATATATAAAATCGATTTTTAAATAATTGATCTTAAATAACCTTTAACTAAATTAAGGAAGACACCCATAGGTCTCTCTCTTACTTTCAAGTTTTCTCTCTTCCCTCTCATGCCTTCTTCTCATCACTAAGCCCATTTCATAGGGTGTTGTGAAGCCTGCGAGGTAGGCCCCACTCCCACCCACAACTTGCTCGTTTCAAGTCCTCAAAACCTTCCTCTCGATCTTCCTAAGAACCTCCCTCACTCTCCAATATCCAACAGTCCCATCTACATGCAATCTATGTCTTCAACAACAACGATCTCACACACGTTGCGCACGCCCTTGTGGGACTCGACCTGACACATAACGAGAAGCTTGTCAAGGTAGACGTTGAGGTGGACAGACCGGGGGTTGTTGATCATGGGGAACAATATATTGTTGATCATGATTCAATATTTTAAATTGTGTTCGAAGACTTGGAATGCATATATTATGAATTATAATTAATGATATTGGAATTAATTTGGTTGAGTTTGGGATTGATTTTAGTTTGAATGTGATTTGAAAGTGTGATCTAGACATGTTATATGTTGATTGTAATATGATAGTTCCATTTCTTTTATGGCTCCAAATATAGATGCTTGGTATGATATTTGATGTACTTCCATGCTATAAATGAGATACTAAAGTTGTGTGTGACTGTATAAGTTGGGATGTGCTGTTAGGATTTCAGGTAGTGCTTTCGAATGAACCAATTATGCATAACTCCTACCAATGTTGGAGCCCCTCTTCATTCTAATATGAGGGTATATGGCTTTGTTAAAATATTTTAGATCATTAATGATTTGGTGCTTTCTAAAACGCTTAGTTTACCCTACTGCTTTGACAAATCCATCTAGGTTTTATTATGCCAAAGTTCTTTCCTAGAGATACTTAAACAAATGATGAACAAGAAGTTATTTTATGAGGTAGGTGTTAATTCTAGGAAACTTTTGGAAGATGTGGCTACTAAAGAAAGTGTGAGTTTCATGGGGATTCACTATTGAAGAGACAGGACATAGATAAAGACCGAGTCCATGATCACTATGTTTCTTAATTTTACACATTTCATGGTTTAGGATGTATATTATTTTGCATAATACTTAACTTATTATTCTTACATTTATGTATTACGTGTATTTAAATTTTTTTGATTATATATATGGTTGACATTTACCATTTCTCATCATTTGTATGTAATTTGATCTATTGAAAAATAATATAAGAAATGTAGAAATTTTGATCTATTGCAAACTTATTATTGATGAAATTGTATATGAACTACATAACTTTTATTTTGGGACGTTCTCAAAATAGATCAACTATTTCATTTTATTATAAAAAAGTCACTTTTAAAATTAATTATAAAATAATTTATCTTAAAGTTTAATTTTTAATATTGATTCTTTTAAAATCGATTAAACAACTAATTTTAAAAATAAAAAATAATTAATTTTAAAAGTTTTTTTTTACTATAATAATATAAATTTAGTAATATAAATTTTGATGTTGATTGCAAACCTAATTAGATATGATTTTTTTAATGTGCTTATGCTCCTTAGGTGCCATTTGCATGATGTTCTTTGCCACCGATGGACAAGAAATATTTTCTTGTTAAAAATTATTT